TTTCTTATTTTCTAAGAGAAATATATAAACTTATTTTATATATTTAAACCTTTGCACTCGAGAGGTGTCTTTCAGTCACCATTTGATAAAATTTCGAAGATCTATATTAATTAACATGCCAAATTTAAAATAACGTAACAGTGTGTGAGGTATCGAAATTAAATACGTGTTACGTGTTAATTATTATACAATTTCTTATTTACTGTTCAAAATAATATCGTCAGCTTTGTAGCAGACAATTTTTGAACTCCTACTCTTCTTTAATCAAAAGATGGTCGAGTACAAAGGGTTAAAATAAGTTTGTAATTATATACTTAAATATGTAAATTTATTTTATAATTTTTTCGGCGTATTTTAAAATTTCGGAGAATATATAAACTATTTTTGACAAAATTTACGGTTTCATTCGAATCGAAAGATAATTCTTTATAGACATAATTATGGAGTGCAACATAGTTTCATGAGATTTGCAGCTCATAGAACGGGTACCCCATTTTACTGACCATGATTATGGATCTATCTTGCACAAATTGAATCTCATCCCGTTAGCATTTAGTAGGACAGTTATGGATTTCCTTTTTCCTTAAAAAATTTAAAACGGCGTGATTGTTGAATGGTGTTAATCTTAATTATCAGGGAAAGTTATTATAAATATAAAAAGTTACAACTATGCCAAGTGCTTTGACACTTAAATTTAAGATTTTCCAAAAAGTGGAGTTAATCGATTTGTGCAGTGAACGGCTCATATATCGAACCACTTCTTTAGCAAATAATAATAATCAAGCAATACAACTCTTTGGTGTTTCTCTGGATGTTTGCCATAGTTCTATTTTAAGAAACTTGTAAACTTCGTATGCGTTCATTTTCTTTGTATTCTAATAGGTTTTCCCCTTTAATAAATAAATAAATAAATAAATAAATTATCTTAATTTCTTTATAATATACGTGCTTACTCATTATAGGTTGGTGGTTTCAATCTTAATGCACCGTTAATAAAAATAAATGCAAATAAAATGCATCTTTAATAAATAAATAAATAAATATATGTAGTATCGCAGAATGCCCACCTCGTGTGTAGGTGACTTTGGTTTGGAAAGTCGCCGAGGGTTCGAGGGCCAGGTCATTCGGAAAAACCCCGGCGATAGCCTAACGCTCTTAGCATGACCATATTTGGTCGTGTTGGGGGAGGCTTTTTAGGGAATATATAAAGAAGGCAGAAATGGTTAAGGGACGATTCGTGAGAGACGATTCTTGAGAGACGCTTCTTCTGGAGAGACAGTGCTTGAGAGATAGTTAAGCTGGGTCAGTGAGTCGCAATCGTGTTGTTAGTTGTAATCGTGTTGTTAATTGTAATCGTAAGAGTTTAGTTGATATACATATCTATATTCGTAGTCTCTACCGTCACCGCACATTGTATTATTATTTTATGTTTAATAAATAGTTTTATATTATTTAACAACACCCATGTCTCTACATATATAAATAAATAAACTATCTTAATTTCTTTATAATATACGTTGCTACTCGTTATAGGTTAGTGGTTTTAATCTTAATGCACCGCAATGTCAATAATAAAAGATCTATTTCCTCTTTATTCTCGATCCTTCCCATTCCTTTTCTTTTTTCTTCCCAAATTTAGTTCGCGGTTTGATCTATAGTAGGTATACTATAACTCCCAATGAACGAATTCGTCACGGTACTGTTAATCAATTGTACCATGACACAGGCGTGTAACAGCGTTACGAAACTCGCGTAGGTTCGCAAAGATGAATGATTTTGCCACGTCAGCTTGGTTTCCTAAACATCGTGGCCGGCTATCAGGGACGACGATTCATTATGCCTATAGGACGTTACAAAATCTTGGCTGATTCAGGACTCGAATAAAGAAGCTTACTTTCGCCGAACGAGGATCGATGGAAAGAATGACCGTTACGTTGAGGATAAAATATTTTTGGCACTTGTTTGCTTCCTCTGCAGCGGCAATAAAGAACGGTTGTGCAACCACGTGGGCCGATCCCTGCGCGAATATTGCACGAGAAACCGATCCCATGCGTCCCGAATCGGTTCTTTTACACGGAGGCATGGGCCAAGGATGTTGCGGTCGAGCGGAATGGAGAGGGTAGGTGGTGAAAGCGAATTAATAGTCAACCCTGTCCTTTTTTGGAGGACCAACGCTCGTTACGTCACGCGTGAAATTGCATTTGTTTTCTTGGAAAGCAAATCGCGCAGATGCGAACTATCCCGTTCACGTATCACGTAACCATCTTGTCATCCGTGCTTCTGTACCTCGGGGCATAAATTTTACAATTATGTTTCCAGAGTCGTTCGAATTTGGCAGCGAAAATTCGTTCTTCCCGCCAATCGTGGCGGTTATGACGCTGTTTTCTCTTTCCCAGTCAATTATATAAGTACTTTTACGCCCAACACTTTCGGTACGCCTCATATTCGGCCGTTATGTAAAATCCCTTTGGAACGTACAGCTTCCTGGAGCATAAACGATGTAACGGCGCTTGCGTAATCCTTCAAGAGCCACGCCGGCATTTATCGAGCGTTATCTCGACGTGTGAACCTAATTTCGTATCCTCATATAACCGCATGGCAAATGCGGATGCGTAAGAACACGTGCATCGTTAAAGGAATAATCGAGGACGCGTAAACAGGTGCAAATCAGGCGCATTAATGCGTGACTATGAATGCCTGGCGCCTATCCCCGCTCAGGTGAACGAGAATAGATCGGCGAATCGTGCGGTAAGAATCGTGAACGCGATTACGCGTCTTTTCAAATTTTCTTTTCCAATATTTTAATTTGGATATGTAAAAATCGAGAAATTCGACGAATCACTTGGTAAAAGCTGCTACTCCAACGCGTGTCGTTTAAAATTCTTTGCTTCGATCTGTTCTTGCAAAAATTTTATTGAAAAGTTGGAATAGGGACAGTCCACGCTTGGGAGAGTCATTTCAAAATTTTATATTCGATAAATTTATGTATTGCAAAAAAATTCATGAAACAGGTGCAAATTAGACACGCTAATGCGTGACTATGAATGCTTGGCGCTTATCCACGCTGAGGTATATTCGAATAGATCGACGAATCGTGAATACGATTACGCATCTTTTTCAAATTTTCTTTCCCACTATTTTAACCCTTTGCACTCGAGAGGTGAAGTTCAGTCACCATTTGATAAAATTTCGAAGCTCAATATTAATTAATATATCAAATTTGAAATAATGTAACAATGTGCGAGGTATTGAAATTGAATAATTCTATGTGTTAATTATTATACGATTTCTTATTTACTGCTCAAAAAAATATCATCAGCCTTATGGAAGAAAATTTTTCAACTCGTACCTCTCTTTAGCCAAAAAATCGTCGAGCGCAAAGGGTTAATTAATTTATCAAATTTAATGTAATGTAACAGTGTGCGAGGTATGGAAATCAAATAATTCTACAATTCTATTATTATACAATTCTTTATTTACTGCTCGGAAAAGTATCGTTAGTTTTTTACTAGAGAATCTTTGAATTTCTACTCTTTTCTAGCCAAAAGGTCGTCGAGTGCAAAGGGTTAATTTGGTTCCGGAATAATCAAGAAATTTAACGAATCACTTGATAAAAGTTGCTAGTCTACTGAGTGTCATTTAAAATTTTTTGGCAGCTTGCTTCGATCCGTTCTTGCAAAAATTTTATGGAAAAGTTTGAATAGGACAGTCTACGCTTGGAAGACTCATTTCAAAATTTTATATATGATAAATATATATATTGCAAAAAAATTCATAAAACAGGTGCAAATCAGGCGCACTAATGCGTGACTATGTATGCATGGCGCCTATCCCTGATAAGATATACAAGAATAAATCGGCGAATCAAGCTGTAAGAATCGTGAACACGATTACGCGTCTTTTCAAATTTTCTTTTCCAATATTTTAATTTGGATATGTAAAAATCGAGAAATTCGACGAATCACTTGATAAAAATTGCTACTCTATCGAGTGTCATTTCAAATTTTTTAACACTTTGCTTCTATTCGTTCTTGCAAAAATTTTATGGGAAAGTTGGAATAGGGACAGTCATTTAAAGGAAGAGTCATATAAAAATTGTATATTCGACAAATATAAATATGTATCGTAAAAGAATTCATAAAATTTGACAAATCTTTTGAATTTTGAAACTACAAATATTTTAATCCCTCTAGGTACGTGTAAAAATTTCGCAGAGGAAATTCCTAAAATTTGATAAAGGATCACCAAGCGATTTTTCAAAATTTCGACGATTTTGGTTTCAGAATAATTAACGGGTTCGTTATCGGGACACAGTGAACGGGGAATTGAAAGAAAAGTATGCTGATACCGGTAATAGGTTAAAGTATAACACAGTGACGAAAAAAATAGCAGGTTTGATCGATTGGAAGGGAACGGTGTCGAAGCAGGTCGAATCGAAAGTAGCTGATCACTGGCATATCCGGCATCCTTGGACTGTGCCGCGTTCGTAATTAACAACGACCCGTGATTTCGCGTAATAGTAATAAAAAATAATTGTCGCAATTCTTTTAATTTTTTTTCGCGTACCACGTATGCTTCATTAATATTTTCTCGATAAATCTCACGCGATTCTACGAGTCGTATCGGCGCTTACCTTCCACCACGTCAGTCGAAATCAAAAGACAAAGTATGAAAAGACTGGTTTTTATTTCTCACTTCTCTGTACAAAACGAGATAATACTCTCTATCTAATAAAGGAACAAAACCAAGGAAATAAACGAAGTCACGAGACAGCGTTACCTAATTGACTATGACAGGAAACCCTGGCGTGTAATGTCGTAGGACACTGCGACGCTGAAATTTCTCGTGAAACTGTCAAAAAACTAAGATCCCTTCTACTCGTCCACCCCTAGGAATAGCTCCACTACCCCTATACACACGCAAAGTGGACAAGGTTCTCGCTATCGATGGGAAGCTGTCGATATGATTATTAGATAAACAGGCACCTTAAGGGTCGCCATCTACAGTCTTACGAGTCTTTCCGGCCTGCTAGTGGTTATGCTAACAGACTCGCTAAGAGGAACCATATTGGGGTTTGGCGCGCCATAGGTGCGGGGTGGTGACGTATGATAAGGTGGCGGATGATGAGATGGCTGGTTCGAACTGTTGGACGAGGCGCCTAGAATAGTGGTGATGGCGCTCACTAACGAGGCAACCACCTTTAATATCGCGTTAAGGATGTCTTTGACCGAGGAGCCGAGCAGATTGAGCGAGTTCGGGTGCTTCGGTGGTGCTTTAGGCTGAAAAGTTGAGAAGCACAGTGTCACAGGATGCTTTCGGGTTGTGAGGGAATGAGCTATCGTGTCGCGAGATAAGATTCCCAAGCGAGAGAGGAAGGATAAAGGCAAACTTACGTAACTGTAAGAAGGTGGAGCACCACCGTAGCTGCTGACGGCACCATAACCAGTGGGAGTCCCGTAAGAGTCCTTCTGACCGCTGGAACCAGCGCTGGTGCCTGCTACGGTCCCAGCGACCACCGCTTTCACGAGGCTCATTAGGTCGGACTTGCCACCCGTTGAAGTCTGCAAAAGAACCACATAACAGAGCAATTGTTAGAGTGCTTCGTAATTATCACCGAGACATTCTTGACAGCGATCAGACGAATCTAGTGGACGATTAAGGTGGAAGAGGTATTCGAGAAATTTGGAAATCGAGTCGAGTTCTTGTCACTGTGCACCAGATTCGTGCGATGCTTTCTTCCGATGGTCGAAGAGAATTATAATTGTTAGAAAGAGCGATCGAGAGGCGGTACACGATGACATACACGACACTGGTTCAGTAGTGAAATGATCGATTTATTGTAAGACAAACGTTTAACAGAAAAGTCAATGCGTACTTTGCTAAGACTAGAGACAACATTGGCGATCAGGTTAGAGAGCGCTGTCATCTTGCCATTCCCGACAGGCTGAAAATGAATGACAGTTTCATGGAATTGATGTACATATCCTTGCGAGGTAATAGGCCATATGAATAATAGCGTTTACTTCGAGTAGGGGACCCAATACAGCCTTGACGAGATCACCGGAGGATGATCCACCTTCACCAGGGGGCTGAAATTCACGTGGTCGTCTAATACGAAGCAACAAACGTTTCTGATCTCAGAAGAGTGTGATATTTACATTGGAAATCTGGCGACTGAGTGGTAAAACCAGTGGACCAACGAGAGGTCCTATCAACGGGGCAATTAATTGCAGAACCGGTGTCAAAATGGCGGCTGAGTCTCTGTCGCCATTCGGGCCCTGAAACAAAGCTCATTAGGTGCTTTACCTGGTCTTACCTGCGACCTCGTCTCTTTCTATCTGTGCCACGTGTCTGCAAGAAGTTCTGCAGTAACTTGACAACTCACTCCGCTAAGTTGCAACAAGATCGGCACCAGTACACCTGGAATGTCGAGTGGTTCGTTTTCGTCGTCCCCCTAAAAGCATATCCAGTCAAGTAGGTTCTTAAAATAATCTGGCATGACCCCGTCAGGGTTCATTTATGCCTCTGATCCAGTCGATGAAATACTTGGAAACGATTCGTTGGAATTTTTACCTCCGAGAGATCTTGTAGAATCGGAATCCCTAATTCGAGCACATCAGTTATGTCGGTGTTGGAGTCAGGCTGAAAGAGACAACTATGGTAAATTCGAACTCGCTATATCGATTATAGTCCATTAATAATTTCAAAATCCCCGTAAAAGCTCTTACATCACTGAGGTCTTCCAAGATTGGGGTGACAAGCGGAAGCAGATCCAGGATAACTTTAATAGAACCACCTCCTCCTTCGTCTTCCTCCGAGTCGTCATAGTCGTTCTCGTTGGAAGCACTCTCGTTGGAGCCGCCATTGCCGTTTCCCTCCTTAGATTCGACGTCGCCATTTTCCTCGCTCTTACTACCTTCTCTGCTACCTCCCTTGCTACCCTCGTCACCCTTGCTGCCGTTATCCTCCCCGCTGTCAGTCTCTTCCTTGCTCGTGCTATCCTCTTTGCTTCCACTGTCGTCGTCGTCCTGTCGATTAACATTTCTCGTGTAACACATCGCGAGGAAGCAATCGTGACAGAAGATACCACAGAACGTACCTCGACCTGTTGCGCCAGAGACGTCTGATTACGTCTTCCTTGTCTGGACGCAGACTGAAATAAACGAATGGACTTGAATAAGCTCCCACGTTCGTGCGTTGATCTTTCGAACAATTTCAACGTCCTCGAAAATGCAAGGTAACTTGAAGAAATCGTGTTCACCCGCGAGTTACGAAACAATTCCATGTCAGACGTATCCGAAGAAGGTGGGACCAGGAGATGAGCGTTTCTAGTGAATCGATGATCGACGATTGGGTAAGCGATCGTTAACGAATTCATGGTGGAAAGAACAGGCATAATGAACGATAGCCGTAGCAGGAAATCGAATACGTCCTCGTGGCACTATAGAAATTCGACGTCCCACTGAACACGACATATCCATCCTCTTCTTCGAGTTCAACGATCCTATCGCATACGTTTCACTTGGCGAATCCTATTACGCAGCAGCAGCTTTCGATTCGAGCTGCTCGCTTGTCCAATCGAACGGAGCCTCCAAAATGTCAACGCCGTTTCATTTTTCGATCGAACGACCGATTAACGCATAGAAACTCGTCGAATACTCTCGCAGCGGTTTCCAAAAAAGAGCGCTATACTAAATCCACGCTTCGTTCCTTTCCAGCCGTGTCGATTCACGCGCACCTTTCACCGGGCTAATTACCCCCGAATCGCAGACGGCCCTTGTTTCTTCGCTTTTTCCTACTTAATCGCCGCTTTGACACGCGTGTTCCTTTCCCCGATACAATTATCCGCTGCGAATTCACGGCAGCCTACTTTTACTCGACTCGATTGAACTTACCGGTGGCCTCTGGGGCGGATACAGCTGCGTCCTCTGGGGCGGTGGCACCCTCTGTCGCGCCGGGACCCTCTGGGTCGTCGATGTCGTCTGCTGGTTCAACGGCGGTGGCGTTAGCTGCTCCGATGGCGTGTTGTTCCTCCTCAAAGCCACGAAAGACTTCAGCAATTGCCCGAAAGGTGACAGCTGTTTTTTCTCCGATTTTTCAGATTTTTCCGACTTTTCTGATTTTTCCGATTTTTGTTTCTTCGACTTCTCTTTCTCCTTCTTCGAGCTCTCTTTCTTCGACTTCTCTTTCTTCCTGTCCCTCTCATCCTTCTTCCCACTGTCCGTCGGCTGAGCCACCTGACCACTGTCATCGAATACCACGTTTATCTGACCAGACTCGTTAGTCAGAGTGAAATTACTGTCAAAGTAGGGTGGAAATTGGTCAGCAGGTTCTCTAGTCGGTACTACCGTGAAGTAGTTGGTCTCCTCGCTTCTCGATGTCGTCGTTTGAGTAGGTTCCTCGCGAGTGAACGTGATCACAGCCTCGAAGGGTACTTGGAACAGGGGTTTCATCGAGCTCAAGTTCCTCTGATGGGGTTGGTGGTCGAAGCTCTTAACTGGGAGAGCTATCTCATCGCCGAAGTACAGAGGATTCTGCGTGGTGAACGTGATCTCCGAAGCCAGGACACCTATGTTGCTGGAAATGTTCCTCTCCAGGCCGTCGAAGAAGTACCTGGTGACGAAAGGGTCGGTTGGGAACTTGATGCTGTCAGCAGTCGTCGTCACTGGCAGATAGGTCCTCGTTGGAGGCGAAACTGCGTTCGTGTTTCGAAAGATGTCGTTAGGTCTCACGTCGATAGCTGGCCCGAAGTCGGGAAACTGAGGAACGAACTGTTGCTGATCCCCAGCTTTTAAAAAATTCGTCCTGTCCAAGGTGCCTTTGAAACTTGGCTCCTTGATCCTCGCTCTGGCAACGTTTATATTCGCGGTGACCTCCAGAGGACTTGGAACAGTGGTGTCCGAGATGGCCAAGTTGCCGTGGTTGCTGAACAGAGTCTTCGTGGTCACTCCACCGACGGTCAGGGATGGAAGCTGGGAACTAGCGTACACTTTGTCCTTGGACAACTGTGCGATACCATTTCTCTGAGGATTCCTCGCGTTTTCGACTCTACCGTTGTCCAAAATGCTGACACTCGCAGGGAGCCTGGCTCGGTCGAAGTTCGACACGTGTCCAAGGTTCCTCACGTTCTCCGCGTACCTAGAGTTCTCGAAACTCTTCGTGTTGGCGAATTGTTCGACTCCGCTGATCGATTTGCTAGCGTCGAATCGTTGAAACGCAGAATTTCTCGAGTTCTGCGATTGCTTCGCGTTGTCGAAGCCTCTCACGTTCTCCGGGGCCCTGAAACTGCCTGTGGTCTTCGAGGGTGTATCTTTGACAGTAGTCAAGGTGATGTTTATCTTGGACGCCATCAGACCCATGACGTACCTTGCCCAGGCCACCAGATCGTCCTTGGTGGCGATCTTCAAGGGCAACTGGATCTCGAGGATTTTCGGCACGTTGGAGAATCCATTCCTGGAGTCGCCTGTGATGTCGTCGGACCGTCTAGACGGCGGTGCGGGCATTGAAATCACCAGGTTCGTGGCTATGAGCGCCAGCATCGGGTAGGACCTAGGCAACCGTCTCGACAGCAGGAAGAACATTCTCGATTATCGATCTCCTCTTCGAGGCAACAGGAATCGAACGGTAACTAGTGGTTCAATTTATTTTGCGACACTGGTACTCGATGTTGCTCGATCGACGTTCAACGTCCTCGCGAATTCCACCGAACTCGACACCCTGACGTCATTTCCGCGCACCTTTCATTCGTCACAGAATTTTGCTTGTTGCTTCGAATAGCTCGTATTCGTTATAGCGTTTCGCACATGTCGGTGGCAACCGACGCCGTGGAAAAGGGAAATTCGACTGAGAATCGCGACGTGAAAACTGTCGGGGCAGGTGGAAAAATGGTTGCTTTATAGCGGATGAACAATCGATCGCCCCTTTCCTTCCTGATCGTGCAAACGTGCACTTTTTCCGCGCGCTGATCGCAATATTGGCATTCCTAATCACAGTGCACCATGCCGCGGCGGCTGCACTCACTTCCGTCGTTGCGTTCGCAATTATGGGGGCACGATTTCTCGTGGGAGGCGCAGCGCACGCGAAACGCAGCTGATGACAAGCTTTCGCAACGCTGGGGACCGCCTGATCTGAGTAAACGTGCGCCAAGGATTCGATACGTATAATCAGGACATCGATTTACTAATCGCTTTTCGCGACTGTGTAACGACCTCGGTTTTCAATGGATACCCAACGAAACCTGAAAGTGGATAGTTTACGGATGGCCTGCCTTTTACTTCAAACTCGAAAGTGCCTGTGAAAAGGAGCGAGGCATCTCGTAAAATTCCCGTTGACAGCGGTTGCTTCGCCTGTAGCTAGTCCTGAGATTTAAGTGGACAACCTAATTTCACCAAACACTCACTTTTCGCTTGTAAACTTTCATCACCCTATCACCCTATTTAAAACAACGTGCTTGTTTCCTTGCTCGTTAAATTCGAAGCCTACTAAGAAAAATGATAGAGTCGCCCATAGAAAAATTGAAACTGACTTTGAGGTTTCGAGGGTTCCTTAAAATCGTATCTATGATAGAAAAATTTGATTCCTCCACTAGCTACGAAAATAATCAATTTGTCGAGTTAGGGGATCCAGATGTCCATAGATCTTTGTACGATTTTTAATAAATCGCAAAATATTTCTTAAAATTTAAATCTATGGTAGAATTTGGGATCGCAGTGGAATTGAAGAGAACACTTATCATAAAACGAGACACTTTAATAACAGGTAATAACTCGATCGGTGTTACAGTTCAACGATTCTACAGAGAGTGAGACACTCGACAAAAGAATTCGTTAGGTGATATCGATACACACGCAACCATACATCAGTACATGATCATAACAGTTTAACATCGAGGTTATATATCTTTCTATAAGATGTCTCGATTTGTGTCTTTGGTATTGCAGCAATCTAATATTCTGACAATTAATGAGTCGAAGATAAATCAGATGATATCTCGCATTTTATTCAGAGCTTGTGTTATAATTTTTCTGTGTATTAGTCAACAATGGTTATAAAGTAGTCGATTACGAGCTGCTTTAGACAGGTCTGTCTAGTTAACATTAGATTTACGGAACCCGTCAATTTGACGGAAAGGTTACTCCAATTATACGATGGTAACAGATTTAGTTAACTTATATTAAGACTGTTAACCCTTTGCACTCGACCTTCTCGTTATTTTTGTGTATCTTATAATTCGAGGATTTCCTGCTGTAAAACGATATTTTGGAAACGGTAAATTAAATAAAATTGTCATATGCAAATTAAGATGTAGAATTATTTTACTCCTACATTCCAGGTAACATTGTGTTATCCAAATTGGATATATTAACCCATTTGCATCATGGCTGTACTTAAGGTGCAGTGTTCAGGCATCATCGACGTTCAACTGACTAGCCTGTATCACCGCGCGCGTATCAGCACCTACTCATAATGGAAGTCAAAAGGATTTTCACAACAAAAGTAAAACTTGTTAAGAATATAATGAACCGATGTAGATGAGATGCTCACAAAAGGGATGAAACGTGATCTGTGGCATATGAAGAATATTCAGCAACTGGTAATGGAAAAGTCAGCTCGCGGATTATTCCACACTCGGTGATAGACGACTGTCGTGGCTCGCGGAATATTCCGCGCTCGGTGATAGGTGACTGTCGTGGCTCGCGGATTATTCCGCGCTCGGTGATAGACGACAGTCGTAGCTCGCGGAATATTCCGCGCTCGGTGATAGACGACAGTCGTAGCTCGCGGAATATTCCGCGCTCGGTGACAGACGACTGTCGTGGCTCGCGGAATATTCCGCGCTTGGATGCAAATGGGTTAATTAACATCGTTCTTCAGAATTTGATTAATATAAGCCTATGCAAAGGGTTAATATAATATATAATTGTTTTGAAATTAAACTAATCGTTAAAAGCAAAGGCACGTGGTTTCATTTACCTGTCAATTTGACAGGTGTCCTTAGAAATATGTATACAAATAGCGTGCATAAACCTTAGTATTAATAAAACATTAGCTCTAACGCAGACATTTTCTTGTTCTCTCGTTCCTTGTTCCTTAGTTCGCAATTTTTGCTTATGGGCCCTTATTTTGAACCGTTCTGGATCAGAGAATTGGCCATGATCGCGATCTTGAGGTGCCAGGCAATGGCAACAATGGCTCGGTGAATAAACTCCTGCCGCGATCGTTAGCCGTTTGCAACGAGAAACAAAGCAAGGACAAGTTTAACACGATCCCACGCTGATGAAAGTTACCATTCTGGTTTGCGGGTGTTCATTAAGCTAATCTCGCGCGGTCTCGTGTCGATTTAAGATTTTCCTCGGGTTACATTGACCTATACTTCCTGACTCGTTTCATTGCATACCTATGGGCGTACTTCATCGAATGCAAAGCGGATAATTTAAACGATACAGTCCTCGCTGTCGATTTTGCAATCCTGTTTGATCAATAACTACGAGCTGCGTCCATACCTACGGGAAAAATCCAATTCTCGCGCGTGTCCTTACTTCCTCTGCCTGCTGCATAAATGCAGCTTTCAGATCATAGTTAGATTTTCGATAAACTGCCTCGTATTTATCCTCACGATAAGAACCAGCACGTTGACAAGCTAGATACCCGTTGATCGAGGTACTACGTTCGATAATTTTACCGAGGGACAATTTTACGATCTTCTAGAAACGTGTAAACTAGTTCACTCGTGATTTTATCGATTTTTATTTTACTATATACACAGGATAAATAATATTAAATTGAACGCTGTGCATTTGGCTCGACGTTCTGTTTTTAACCAGTTTCGATCTCGTGTCTCGGTGTTTTATTATTGATTCGAGTGTGGAGTGATTGGTGGGTGTAAAATGTGAGTGTCTATATTGTAGAGACATGGGTGGTGGTTAAATAATATAACTATTTATTAGTTATAAAATAATAATACAATATGCAGTGACGATTAGGCCTACGAATATAGATATATCAACTACAACTACAACTTAACAACACAATTACAACTCGACTGTTTCAACTAAAATACAACTCTCTTCTAATCACTCTTCCCAAGAACTGTACACAAGAACTGTCCGCTAACCACTTTTGCCTTCCTTTATATCCTCCCCCAAAAGCCTCCCCCAACATGACCAAATATCGTCATCATGGTATACACGAGGTGGAAATCCTGCGATACTACAATATGTCTATTAGAGTTATGTATGAAAATGTTATTTTGCAGTGGTGGAAGTTTAAACAAATTCGAGCCAGTATGCCCTTCGTCTAGTGGTGATTTACATTTATATTAGTAGAAACTATACTACGTTCGATGAGAATTGACAGACGATATGAACAAAACGTGGATGCTCAGGGTTGTCTTCTAGTAGCCTTAAACAGGGCCCTTTGCGTATAAGGCCAGTCAAAATTTCTTTGCAATATTCGATCTCACGTCTGGATCGACACAAACCTAGGTTTCATATTTTGACCCTGTTCTGATCATGATTCAGTTGTTTATATTTCCCGCCAATTTTCGTTGAATCAGATATACTTATACAATTGTGGATTATTATTGTTTCGGGTGTGTGGTGATTGGTTGGAGTGACATGTGAGTGGAATGTACGTGTTTTCCTATTGGTGATGTATGTCTATGAGAGGTATGTATGGAATTCCATGTTATTTTGCAGTGGTGGAAGTTTAAACAAATTCGAGCCAGTATGCCTTTCGCCTAATAGTGATTTATAAACTCTTACTAGGAATTATACTCTGTTCGACGAGAATTGGCAGAAGATATGAACAAAACGAGCATATGATCGAACGTGGATGCTCAGAATCAACTTTTAGTGGTCCTAAACAGGGGCCCTTGCATATCATTCCAGTCAAAATTTCCTCGAGATGTTCGATCTCACGTCTGGATCGACACAAACCTAGGTTTGATATTTTTACACTATTTTGATCATGCTGCATCTGTTTATATTTCCCGCCAATTTTCGTTGAATCGAGTATACTCGTGGATAAGATTCATCAATGCCATACGTCTTTGGAAAATTTTTGGCAGATTTTCAAGAAGACATCGTCGAGATTCAAGGACTACTCGCAGATGGGGATGTTAAGAGGTTTGGACGTCAAGATAGAGAACAAGGTTACGGATAAGGAATACTCCTCTATAAGACTGCTAAGAACACATTTTGAGCATTCGATCACTAATCGAGATCGAGACATAATACTTATTCGAGAAGAAAAAGCGTGCCTATTTTAATCTAATTCATACTGCATCTCGAGTGGGAAAATAAAGCACATTGGTGAATTCTGTGTTTGCTCTGCTACGTCCTATATACGACATATCGTGCGTTTCCGCTCCTCGATCCGTCGCGGAAACCAAACGTCACGCCTCCTAATCTAAGGTTCCAATTATCTACCAATTATCTACCATGATCGAATTATCTACTTCGTCGGTCACCGTATCTCGTTACTCTTACAGATAAACTCATGCACTCCTTAATCGCTTTACATCGTTAACTGACTTGTAATGGCGCGCAGGGATGGCTGCATGGGCTCCCGGATCCAAAAG